AGGCAGTTGCAGCCCTTACATAAGCAAGCTGATTTTGAGAGGGTTAAAACTCTGCTGTAAATATTTGCTGCAGGCGGAAATCTAACATATGAAGCCGGAGAACAAATTGTGTTATCAGTTTCAAAAACAATCTGTTTCGCCATTCATTTATTTATTTTTTTAACCCGTGTAAAGCAGAACAATAGGAGTTGACTGGCTGAGAGGGCTTTGTGCTTTGTCTCAGGGTTCCAACGGCTTTGATGTTAAAATGGAAATTTGGCAAGTGGGACGTTGGTAAAGCACTCTAAACGCTTTTGGCATCTTGACAGGGGAAAAAAATCGTCAGGCTACCTTGGTTGGAAATCGGTGAGTGCGTGCTGGCGAGTCACTTTAGAAATAAAATCTCAGAAGGAAATAGGGTGGATGAGTTCGTTGTGTGTATTCGGGGATGAATTGATATGCCACACATCACCTAAAGCAGGTCAGTGATCCATGAGCTTAGCAAGATTTACATGAAAAGACACAATGGTTCCTTCAAAGTTATTGGGTAAGTGACATATGGTCTCAGGGCCATTGTGGGTATCAGTGGGGGATTCATCAGACCGAAATTTGGGCTAAATAAAACTTAAATTACAATTTCCGTCATTTGATTATGAAAAGTAGTTCTATCTGATGCTCTATTTTGCAAATGTTATTATATTAGTAAAAAACCCACTCTCCATTGGTTTCCCTTAATGCAGAATGCTTCCACTCTTTCCTGGGGATCTCTGCGAAGTCAAAGTGAGCAACACATTACCCAAGAGCACCAGAAACCCTCAATGGGCTGCTGGGGTGTGAAATTTTTTTATACCTCAAGTAAAATGCCGTTAATATAATAATCACCTTATGTTAGCAGAGATTGGCAAACTCCAGACCATAGGCCAAATCTGGCCCAGTGTTTTTATAAATAAAGTTTTATTGAGACACAGTGACATTCATTCATTTACCTATCATCTGTGGCTGCTTTCATGGTATGAAAGCAGAACTGAGTAGTTGCTGCAGAGACTATATGTGTGTCCCGCAAAGCCGAAAATATTTACTATCTGGCCCTTTACGGAAATGTTTGCCAACCCCTGATGTAAAGGAGTCCATACTCTGACGGTATAAAATTTACCTATTATCTTCACCATGTTCCTTTGAAAGGGAATTTTTCGCCTTGTCTCTCCCCTGCTAGCTTCTCCAGCTCTCCCTGTGGAAGGTGGACAATTTCTGCATTTTCACAGTAGCTATAGTCTGTAGAAAAATGCGGGCTGGTCTCTTTCTCCTTTGCCACATACAGGATGAGTTGCAGCAAGCGAGTTAAAAATGATGAGAGTATAAAGCGCAGGAAGGTGGTCTTTGTTTGCTCTGAGCCAGGAAATCACTCAACTCTCACCCACATAGTTTAAACATATTGACACTACCAGTGTTTCCTTTGTTTGGGGACAGAGTGTAGAATGATATACTTTCTAGAATTGGCTCATTTGACAATTTCTACGTCTTTTCTGACGAGGTGGGAATTAGTAAATGTGACCTGGGGTTAAGATTCCTCCACTCAGAAGAGAAGGACTGTTTTATTGGTACTGTTTTTTTATTTGTTAAAGTTACTTGATAAATAGAGGAAAAAAGAGTCAAGGGAAGAGAAAGATTGAGTGGTTTGACCCCCTTCCTTTCTCTAGATGTAAAAGGCTGAAGTCACCTGAATTCCATACTCCAGTTAGTCTGCGGTCCTTATAGCCCTGCAAGCTCACCATCCCCTTTTTCCTCTCCCCCAGAGTTTTCTCTCCATTTTGCCCAAATGATTCCTTCTTCCTCTTTATTTCTTGGCCTCGGGTTAGTTCTTCCTGGACACCTGCTTGACTCCCCAGACAGACAAGTTTGGGTCTTCCTGTTCCCTGATTCCATCATACCCTGTGCCCCCCTGTATATCATGTCTGTGTCCTTAAAATTATTAACTTACTTCTGTTCTGGACGGGGATCATCATGATGATGTGCTGGCTACTCAAATTTGGAGACCGGATCTTTAGTTTCAAGAGGAGAAATGTCATGAATTTTGGTTTCTCTAGGTTGGGTAGTTATTATAGTTCTATAATAGGGTTCACGAAAGCTATAGGACTAACCTTTACTGATCACCATCTCTGTGCAGCCATTGTACCTGACGTTAAGCACAGTATCTCATTTAACCATCTCAACAAGCCTATGTGATCGCACTGATACAGAACAGATCCAGAGAGGTTCAGTGACTATCCAAACGGCATGCTGCCAGGAGGAGAGGGGCCAAAATTTGAATCCAAGCCTAACAATTTACACAGTCCAGCCTTTCTTACAACTCCATGCTACTTCTAGTAAATTGCTTTTTCTGGATGAGTCTCAGAGAAAGTCAACAATTATTCTTGCTCCTTCTCTCTTTGTTTTTCCTCCTCTTTCCTTCATTCCTCTTTGTATTTCTTTGTTCCTTGTCTACTGGCAAAAACCAAGCCCTGCCAAAAATATCTACAAGCACTCTTTACCGTGACTATGACAGAAGTTGTTGACCTCTGTTTTATTTGTTGGAAACAGCATATCAGCTTCTCATTCTACTTTTTCCCAGTCCAGACCCTGAATTTTCAACCACCTAAAATGCTTGCAAACTCATAATTAGGTTTTGTGTAAATATTTAAGGGTTTTATTTTCCGTTTAGAAAGGGGTGTTAAGTGAGATTTGGGTGGGGATTTTGGCACATCCAATCTTTATTTTTTCAAATGACTTATTAAAAAGCAACAACCCACATACTTTTTATATAACATAAACAGGAATTCATCTCTCCAAACCCATCATCCCTACCCAGCGTTCTATAAAATTAGCAAAAGATTAGATAAAAATTATTAATCAAGGAAATCAAAATGGGACTAGTAAAATAGGTATTCGCTCAAAGTTGTTTTACCTTTGTTGTTATCTGAAGAACTCAGAGATAAGCCTGTCAAGGTGCTCTTTTGAGGCCTTTCCGTGAACCAATATTTAATCTTCAAAATTAAAGCCTGAAGAAGGAAAACTTGTTGTTGAGTATCAAGATAAATTTGAAGTTGAAATTATCTTTGAATATGACATTTAATTTTTGAGAATCTGTGTTGCCTAGTAATTCATATCTACTACTCTTCTGCTAGTATAATGAAGGCAATCTTCCTGAAAGACCAAGACATGGATTTTTGTCCTTCAAGGTGCTGGGTTCTCATTTACATTTTCATATTCTCTCAGTCTCCTTGATGACTGACACTCTTGTCATCAGATTGGCAGAGCCTGAATAACTATCTAATTTTGAGAGCCCTGTACTCCTGATTCCCTCTGTAGCCTGTTCCCGGGCTTTAGTCCAGGATTCTTCACCCTCTGTCCTGTGCCTTCCTCCTCAGCTTTACTTGTATGCCCCACCCCCACATCATCTTCCAGCAACACAAACAAAGGAGACTTGCTCAAACGGATGTTCTATTTTGTAACTTTTCACATTCTATTCCTTTTTTTAATCCCAATCCATTCTCTTTCCTCTTAGTTATGCTCAAGCATTATTTCTCTTTATGAAGCCCACCTCAGTGCCTTACTTCAGAAGAATTGCTGCTTCCTCTGATGCACCTCATTCACACCTCTTGTGTTGCATGGGTCACACTGTCCAGTAATTATTTGTTAAATGTCTATCTATCCAAAGGGCAAGTGCCATGACCTTCTTTTATCCCAAGTACTTAACTTAGGAGCTGGCATATATCTCCTTTGGTTGGTCTTCCTAGCCCAGGTATGTGTTGAACTGAACTGATAGATAGATAGATAGATAAAATCAAAATTGTCTGGTTCCTGGAAGATCAGACACAAAACCTTCTAACCTGTCGAGACATTTTAAAATTTTAATATAGATTGCCATTAGCTTTAATAGTGTTGCTTTTGTTAGCTCCTTTATAGTTGAATGTTGGGTTAAGAGTTTTAGAGGTACTGATTAGGAGACAGAGTGAAGTTTAATTTTTTTTTTAAATAGCTGAATTTCAATCAGATTCATCCATGTTTTGGAGCCATAGGCCAAATTTACTTATATTAAAAAACTGATATAATCTAGTATCTGCAAAACCAACAAATACAAACAAATCCCTCCTTCTAGTGAGTCACTTGAATGCAAAATCAACTGTAATTCAAGCAAACGAAAACACTAAGGGGTGAGCTTTGTCAGACTGGACTAACTTGTTCTACCTGTTACGGACTCAAAAGGACTGAGGGCTCAGGGTACAGGGAGTTCTATCTTGGGTTACAAGGAGCATTCTGTGTCTCCCCCTGCTGGTTGGTGGAATAACTAAATGGGACAACCCCCAGACGTCTAAATGCCCATGACCTCACAGCTCTGTATCATCCAGGTCAACTGGACCCTGTGAACTTTTAATAAGAAAGGTTGATCAAGAGATCATGTCAGGGTATTTTATCTCATCCCCAGCTTTTAACTCTAGTTAATTAGCATTCTGCATTTCTTAACAATTCTAACTTCACATCCCATTGAAATAAACCATTAAGAAACCCACTTCTTGCATATTTAATTCCAGGCTATAACTACACTTTGATTAGATTAAAATTGTTTTAAAAAGGTTGTGTTTGAAAATAATCTTAAGTGTTACCACAAGGGATAACATTTCTTCTAGTCTTCAAAAGATTGTTTTAGTCCATCAGTATATTTGGAAATATGAAAAAAGAAAAGTAATTCTTATAAACAAGGATATTAGATAAAGTAAATTCACAGAAAATGTGGGAAAAAAAGCTTTACCCAAAATTTGTTTGTATCGTTCTATTACCTTTATTTGGTGATTATATATCTGATGGACTCAAGTTTCAAAAGAATTTGAAAAGGCTTTTTATTGTGAGTATGTGAGTATTCATGACAAGAGTGGAGACAAGCCAAGAGTCCACAAAGAATATATTGTATGATAGATGGTTTACAAACCAGAAAATGCTCTTATTCAGTGGTGACAGCTAAAACATTCAAGCCTCGCCATTATCAGCTGAAAAGCAAAGACTATACAACAAAAAGTGAGGGGAAAACAAGAAGGAAAAAACAAAAATGAGAAGAAGTAGGGATTCTCACATCTAAGAATAGATATGAGAACCAACAATGAAGCCCCCAAGAAGTCAATGCAATAGTGAGCAAAACAAGGAACATCAAAAAAAAGTAATCATGGTAAGTGGAATGGTTTTTGAAAAGTATAAAGGGCACACAGCAGTGTACATTGCAAAAGTCTTTGTAGGTCTGGTTGTATGGCATAGAACAATATTTGATACTAATGATTAACTTGTGCTCATTATATTTTGTTGACTATGTTAGAGAACACAGTGTTATGTCTTTTAGGGAGAGTTTGATTAAAAATAATATAATTTTTTATTTATTCAGAATAGTCACAAATATTTATTAAGTGCTGTATCATTCAGAGTTATGTTAATTCCTTAAATGATTCTAAAATATCAGTTCCTTAATTCAAGGATTTACTTCCTGCTGTGTCACAGTCCAACGCCAGTCTTCCTAAGACCCAGGCTCCTTCTCCCGAAGGTGCTACCTTCTATAACAAATGGCCTCCAAGTTTGCTGAACAAGAAGTGAAAAGAGCATCACTCATACAGGGTTTTATGGATCAAGCCTAGAAGTGCCTTACAGCTCTTTTGCCCACATTCCATTGACCATAAATCAGTCATAAGACTCCAGTCTAACTGCCAGGGGGCTCTGGAAACTCTTGTCTTCCTACTTTCCAAAGAATACAATAACATAGATATCGATTGGCAACAATATTATCTGGAGATTCAGCAGTGGATAGCCGAATGGAGGAACAGAAAATAATCCTGCCTTTCTAGACAGGGAATAAAAATAGTAAACAAAATAAATGAGTTAAATGCATGGCATATTAAATGGTAATAAGTGATAAGTGCTAGGTAGAAAACTAAAGCACCCAGGTAAGGAGGGTAGAAAGTATGGCAGGACTCACTTTCCATTGAAATAAGGTAGTCAGAGAAGGCTTCACCGAGGAGACATTTGAGAAAAGATCTACAGTAGGTAAGGGAGTTGGTGGATATCCAAGGGAAGAAAAGTTCAGGCAGAAGATACTGCTAATCCAAGAGCCCTGAGGCACGACTGGGGCTGGCATGTTAGAAGAACTGCAAGCGGAGGCCAAAGTGGATGGAGTGGAGGGAGCTGGTGGTGGTGGTGGTGAGGAATTCATAGGCGATGAGGTCAGTGAGGTAATGGGGAAGGCAGATTTTATAGTGTTTTTAGGCCATTGTGAGGACTTCAGTGTTTTCTTTGAGTGAGACTGGAAGCATCGGATGGTTTTGAAATGATGATCGATATGCACAAGGATACCTTTTTTTATGTATGTATGTATTTATTTATTTATTTATAAAGATTTTATTTATTTGAGAGAGAGAGGGGCAGAGGGAGAGGTAGATGCAGACTCCCCACTGAGCAGGGACCCCCCCCCCCGACGCAGGGGCTCAATCCCAGGACCCTGAGATTATGATCTAAGCCGAAGGCAGATGTTTAGCTGACTGAGCCACCCAGGTGCCCCCAAGGATACATTTTAATGGTATCACTACAGTTGCTTGATTGAGAACAGAATGTAGGGGAAAGCAATGGATGTGGGAAGACTCATTAGGAAACCATTGCAGTAAGTGAGATGAGATTGGTAGCAGTAAAAAATAAGAAGTGACTGGATTATAGGTATATTCTGAAAGTAGAGTCAATAAGATATGCTGACTGAGAAGAAATATGGTAAGGAAAAGGAGACGGATCGAGTATGACTCCAAGATTGTGTGCCTTAGCAAACAAAAGAGTGTGGGAGGTACAGATTTTTGGAGGGGGAGTGGCAGTCTGATCAGGAGCAAAGTTTTGACATGCTAAATTTGAGATGGTTATTAGGTAGTCATGTGAAAATCTGAGAAGGTTCTCAGAAAGAATGAGTTGAGACTTCAGTGGAGAAGTCTGGCTGGACACAGAAATTTGTTATCAGAACCTAGTCAGATGAGATTCCTCAGGCAATGAGAAAAGGGTTCCAAAGGCTCAACTTTGAGGCACTCCAGGATTCTGAGGTTGGATAGATGAGGAAGACCTACCAAAGGAGATGGAGAATAAGTAGCTAGTAATGTAGAAAGAAAACCAAGTGGCCACAGAGGGAAGGAAATGCTTTCAGAAGTAGTGAGAGATCAAATGTAACAAGTTTTGTTGACAGATAAGTAAAATAAAGATTGACATTTGACCATTGCATTGAGAAGGTCCTTCTTGACCCTGACAAGAGCTTTGTTTCCATCAAGTGATGAGGGTAAAACCTGGCCAGAGGAGTTCAAAGATAATGTGAGGAGAACAATTAGGGATTATGAGTATAGATACTTGATGTGCTGTAAAGAGAAGGGGAGAAAGAAGGTGCTGGCTGGAGTGAGAAGTGGATTAAGAGATGGGTTTTTTTTTTTCTTTCGATATTTATGAGATGATGAGAAACATTTGGGACAGGAGTCGTTGCTGTAGGAGAAAGAGAGGAAATTGCTAGAGTAATGTTCTCAAGTAGACGAAAGCAGATAGGATCAAGTACAAAAGGGAAGGGATTGGCCTTTCCTGGCAGAGGGGACACTCATTCGGTGACAGGCGAGAAGGCAGAGTTAGATGACACAGATGCAAGTAGGTGGTGGGCGTGGGTGTGAGAACGTGTAGAGCTTCTCATCTGATCGCCTCTACTTCCTCTGTAAAATGAGAGTGAGAACAAAGGAGGACCTGTCAGGTATTTGAGGAGAGAGTGGAAAGTACAAAACAGTCACCTGGGAAAGCAGGAAGGTGAATGGACTGGGGACAGGTAGTATGATTGTCCAGCCACTCTAAGGACTCTCTTGTGGAGAGTGAACAGGAAATCAAAGGGAGGCAAGTGAGCAGTCCTGTGTTTGTTTCCAGCTTCATTTAGTTTCATGGGTGCGGGTGGGCATACAGGGAGAGTGGGATTTGGCTAGAGCCGCATTTTTTCAAGTGAGTGTGCCAGAAAGAGAGCATAAAGGAGACAAGGGCATATGCAAAGAAGCGATTCTAACAAATGGCTTTAGAATTGTCCCTGGATAAGAAATGAAGTGGGGGTGTAAAGAGCTAAGAGGCAGTTTCAAAGGTCGGGGATCGATGGGTTGTATAGGCCCATGTTGAGCTGGAGTAGTAGAGGATGTCAGCTGGAAAGCCTGAAGATGGTGAGCAGAGAGGGGTGAATTAAGAAGAGGTTACACATTTTGGTAACTAAGAGGTCTAAGGCACCAGGACTTCAAGAGGGGATGGATGAAATAGTGTGGAGAAGAGTTTAAAGAAATGAGAAAACAGGATTTTGAAATTCTCACCTGCACAGATATTGAAATAACTAAGGATTGTGATAGAAGTGGCTTTGCAGTAAATGACACTGTGCTAGAAACTAAATCCTTCAAAGAATGAGAGAAGATGACCCATTAGCCCATACATGCTTAGAGTAAGAAAGGGTGGTCTGTAGTGTAATCTGATGACAAGGGATTCAAGCTGGAGACTGGGAGGCAGAAGGGTTTGATGTGGTCAGAGGATTAAATGAGGGCTCCCATCTCCCAACCAGCCTGGTGGTATACAAGGGGTGGGAAAGAAAAGGGTACAGGGGAAATGGTGTCCCCAGGAGAGAATCGGGGCTCAGTTTGAAAAACACGATAAATGAGAAGAGATGGAGGATGTTGGAGATTTTGGTGATGTACAACAGTGAGTTCCAAAGGGCACTATGGAAAGGGTTCCAGTGACCCAGAGAAGCGAGAACTGTGTTCAGAAAAGCAATTAACACAGATGTGTATGAGGATTAGAATATGGGGACAAAATTTCTTGCTAAAATAAAGGGCACTCAGTTAAATTTGAAGTTTAGATAGACAGTGGATACTTTTTGTATTTGTACCCACTCCCAGCTCACCACTGCCCTCTCCCTCATCCTCACCCCCTGGCATCCACTAATCTGTTCGTGTCTATAGTTTTGTCATTGTGAGAATGTTATATCACTGGAATCATACAATATGTAACCTTTTATGATTAACATTTCTTCCTAAGCACCACGTCCTTTTAAGTCCATCCAGGTTGTTGCATATATCAATCTTCATTGCTTTTTATTACTAATTTGTACCCCACTGTATGGATATGAGAGAGTTGGTCCAGCCATTTGCTTATCTAGGGGCATTTGAGTTGTGCTTTGAACTGCATGTTCATGTCCTCCCCAAATTCGTATGCTGAAGTCCTAACCCCCGACACGATGGCATTTGGATGTGACATCTCGGCTTCAGATGAGGTAATGTAGTTGATTAGCCTGAGTTGACTAAAACAAGTTATTTTTAGTATTTTGAGCTTACCCATAAAGTTGCTATGAACATTTCATGTACAGGATTGCAACCATCTTCTTAAAGTTCGTTTTGTTCTAAGCTTCCTCGAAATCATAGGTTTGGTGTTCTTGTTGTGTTTTTGCATTACTAGAAATAAATAAATGCATAATCATTAAAATTATTAAAAAAGTTCATCCATGAAAACAACATTGAGACACATCCTATAGAATGAAACACACACATATACAATATGGATGGCTGTTGCCCACATAATGTGGAGTCATTGAAGCCGGTCACAAAAGTTTGATTTCCTTTATATAAAGTACAAGCTAGCAAAGTTAATGGACATGGTCAGAAGTCTAGAGAATGGTTATCCTTGAGGAGAGGTCATCATTGGCTTTTGGGGTACTGCTAATGTTCTGCTACTTGATCTGCTTGACGGCTTCCTTTGTCTGTTGGTGAACATTCATAGGGCTGTACACTTGTAAGAGGTGCACTCTTCTGAATGTATGTATACTCCAATAAAGTCCAAAAAAAATGAACTTCAGCATATGACTCAAGGACTTCCCTCACACATTCCTTTGCTTCATTGCTCATAGTCAGCTGGAATCCATGATTCCACTTAAAGTTGCAGTCATCAATAACATTTTATTTTCTAATGCTCTCTGAGAGAAAAGGGGAGAGAAGTGTTTCAAGCTTGGTGGCTTGAACAAACTCTCACTACTTGACTTATAGTGGTGGCACTGATTTCATCGGTAATTCTTTTTTTCCCGTAGTCAATCTCACTGTCAAAACCCAACCTGAGAACAATGGAATGGGTAAGTGGAGTTTTTATTTATTAAAAGGGCAA